GGCCCGAGCGGAGCGCCGCGCGTGCCCAACCGCGAGGCCAGGTACCGCTGTGGGCGTCAACCCATCTGCCCAGGGGCACCGGGTGGGCCGAGCCCTACCGTCCACCTTCCCGTCCATAGCCGGGCTCTGGGCAGCTCCTCTCTCCCGCCATGACCCGGGCAGGCGCCCCAGCCTCCGGCGAGCCAAAGCCCTGCGCTCGCCAGGAGCAAGTCTGGGGACCCACAAATCGGCCTTGGATCCGAACTTAAACCGGGGTACCGGGAGGGGCACATCGTAGCCTCGGGGCCTCCGCAGGACCGGGAGAGACAGCAGGAGGTCGGCGGCACCCTGGGCTGGGACCACAGGACACCTTGTTGGGGGGCTCGTTGGCACCCGATGCGCTCCCTGAGGCAGGGTACGCGGGACAGGCTGGAAAAGGTCCGGGAGGAAAACCCGAGAGGGGCCGGAGCCGTCTCTGGAGCGCTGCCCCGACGGGCGCCTGACAGGCAGAGCGGCCGTGCTGGCACGCCGGCAATCCGGGTATATTTATCCCGGCAGCGCCGGGCAGGGGCTTGAGGGCAGATGGGGCCGGGCCGCCGAGGGGCCGCGGGGTACATGCTGGCCCCAGAGCCAGTGCCATCTGCAGCGGAGCCAGCGGGCACGGCGGGCACAGGCCGCGCGTGGCTCCCTGGCCTGAGGCCGGACCACTGTGTGCGCTCTTCCCCACCTGGCTCTGGGTGGGGTGTAAGTAAGAGGCCGCTCTGCGCGCGGGCGAACTGACCAAAACTTGGTTTGCATGAGCCCGCCCCCGCCCGATTGGCCCCTTCCATTGGCCACAGCGAATGCGTGCGTTTGTTTACACCCAGGGAGGGGGAGGCCGGGGCGGGATCTGCGGGGATCAGCCCTTTCCCCCCACAGTGGCTTGAGCTCTGAGCCCAGGTGTGGGCTCCCAAACAGGTCTGAGGTGGGCTAAGTCCAAGGTTCTTGAGCCCCGGGGATCACTGCGAAGGGTACCGCCACCATGCCCATCCTTCCTTCAGCCCGCCAGCTCTGTCCTTCCTTCCATGACTGCCTCTGGCCACTGAACTGTCCCTGAAAGAGGCTCTTGGACCTGCCACCCCCTTCCTTTTCTGTAAACGATCTGGGATGGATTTAGTTCCTTCTGGAGAGGAAGCAGATCTCTTGGGGCTCTGAGTCTGGGGGGTAGAAAGTTAGAGACCCGGCCGGGCTTGGTGGCTCGGCCTGTAATCCCGAGCTTTGGGAGGCCGAGGTGGGTTGATTGCCTGAGCCCATGGGTTCGAGACCAGCCTGGGCAACTTGGCGAGACTTCATCTCTACAATAAACAAAAAAATTAGCCAGGCATGGTAGTGTGCGCCTGTAATTCCAGCTACTTGGAGGCTGAGGCAGAAGGATCACGGAACCCAGCAGGTCGAGGCTGCGGTGGCCGGAAGCGTGCCACTGCCCTCTAATCTGAGCGACAGGGTGAGACTCCAACTCAAAAAAAAAAAAGCTAGAGAGACTCAAGGATAGTTCCATTTTGAATGGGGGAAGCATCACTGGTGGGAGGGATCAGGAGTGGAAGAGGCCAAGCCCGGCACATCTCTGAGAAGGTTGGAATGACTGAAATCAGAAATGAGAATCTTACTTCTTGGGGTTGGGGGCAGGGGCTTGAATCTCTTGGGAGGGTGAGAGCATGTGTCTCAGAATTTTGTTCTGCCTGGACCATGGGGCCCATGTCCTCACTGGCTGCCCAAGTCACTCTTTATGTGCTTGTTCTTTTGGCCCATGTCACAAATGGTTCCCACCCAGTCCAGTGCTCCAGATGGCCAGACCATGAGAGTTAGTTGCTTCTGTCCCTGTGCCACTGCTCTGGAAGTAGCCTGGTAGCTCTGGGCAAATGGAGAAACTGAGGCACAATAAGACAGCTGGGTGGTTCATGGTCTCTAGATAGGGTGAAGGAAGGATTTTAGGCTGAACTGGGCACTCCCTGGAAGTCTGGGCTGGGTGTGGGGACATGCATTCTGTTTAAGGGGAAAACATCTTTACAGTGGAGTAGGGGGTGGTTGGCTAGGAGGGAGGCGCAGTTTTGGCATTTGTGTGTACAGAAAGCTAGGGTGAGATATGCAGTCTATGCCACAGTAGAAAGGGGACCCTGTGGGAGGATGTACTAGTACAGACAGGGTTAGGGGCCAGGCCTCACCTGGAGCAGGTAAGGGGGCTTGTCGAAGGTTTTTAATGCATCCTATTCATTTAACAATATTTACACCTACTATATGCCCCATGTAGACTTAGTCTAGTGGGGCCTTTGACTGTGGATGGGCCTTTGACTCTGGATGAAATAATGGGCCTTTGACTCTGGATGGAAGGACAGACACAGGAGAACAGGGTGGGGCTCTGGAGGACCAGGCGGGGCTTCTGGGGGCCAAAGGGAAGGACCAGCTGCTGGGGCAGGAGGGGCTTTCCGGCCAGTAGCCTTAGGTGGCTTAGTTTTGAATTTCCGCTCTGCAGGCCACGTCCTGTACACAGCCTCTCAGCCAGCACGTCTGCACACGTGTGTGGCTACTGAGAATAAGGGTCACTCCTACTGTCTGTCATCTCTGCATGTCTTTGTCATTGTTCAGGTAGACCAGTCCTGGGTGCTGGACCAGGGATTTCTTAGCTTTCCAGCTGGGCCTGGTCTTGTGGCCCTAGTGGACTCAGCCCCACCCTCTGGATATCATTGCACCTGGCTGGTGGGGGCATAACCTGCCTTGTGGGAACCTCGAGGTGCAATAGTAGCCTTCTTGTGGAGTCCTCCAGGATTCTTCCTGGCCAGCCTTGGGCCTGTTGCCTGTCACCTGGGCCTCCTGTTTCCCTCTTGTTTTTTTGGGGGGGGGACTCTGTCTTTTGCTGGTTGTCTCTTACCATCTCTTGCTATCTCCTCTCTTTATCTTTTTCTCCATCTGGATGGCTGTGACCAATGGGTCATTTCTTTACCTGTTTCTCACCTCTCTGGTTTTCTCTGTCTCTCTGTCTCCCTGTCTAAATGTCTATCCACCTATCTACATGTGAGTTTTGCCTCTTTCTGTGTTTTTCTCTGCCTGTGTCCTTCTATATCCATCTGCATTTCTGTCTCCCTGGTCCTGTCTGTGTTTCTGTCTGTCTGACTGTTTTTCTGTATGGATTAGTATGCATGGATACATGTAGCTAGTGTCTGTGTGTTTTCTCTCCCTGCTCTTCCCTTGTCTGTCTCTCTTCCCTCCCTCTGCTTCTCTCTGCTTATTCCTGATATTGGATTTGCCCCTCCTCCAGGGTGACCTTGACTTTAGCCCCCCATTGGGGTCTCCAATGAGTCCTGAACTGCCTGAGGCCTGTGCTCCAGCTTTCTTTGGGGCCAGAAGTCCGGCTGTCCAAATATTTGGCTGGCTCCAGGGGATTCCGGGTCAGTGGGGAGGAGGATGGGCTGGCTGGCGCAGGGTCTCCCCTGCCCCTGGGGGGCCACAGTCACGTGATGTCCTGTCCTTTGGCTCAGCTGGGCCTCAGGCTGACGTCCCTCTCAGCAGGCTGGCAATGGGGGAGGAAGGGGGCTGCCGCTGGCTCTGGCCCAGTCTTGAACCAAGAGTTTCTGACTGCAACCTTTACTGGGGGCAGCCTGAACAAGGAATGTCTAGGGCTGGGTGGGAGGGGAGGCCCAACTATAAGCATCTGTTAGAAAATGTACCCAGTCACAGGAAAGTCTACCTTCCGGCCCCAGCTGGGTTTCTCAGATCCTCCTAGACACCTCCGGATGCCAGGAACACAGAGGCACAGACACCAGATTCCAGAGCAAGGGAGCTGGGGGATGAGGGATTGGTGTGGCCAGTCTATCAATTCTCTGGGCTATCTATCGGGATGTGTCCCCTCCTGCATGTCACCCATTCAGTACAAGCCCAGTGTTTGCCACACACTGGCCACTTGCATTGTTGTGTTGTTGGTAATGAGGAAGTGGCAGTGGGGGACTGGAATCTATTGAAGATGTGGGTCTGAGGGAGGGGCGGGGGAGTGTTTCCCTATTCTAACACCCTCCTCCCACTTACCCTATCCCTAGACCCCTGACCTCAGCAATCAGCTCTCACCAATCCCTGTGGCCAAACCTTGAGAACAGGCCATTCTAAGGTGTCAGTTGCATCCAGTTCCTCACCTACTAATGGCTTGTCCTAGGAAGGATAAGCCTCCTAGGAGGGGATGTCTTTCTGCTGAAGCCTGAAGAAGCAGGTAGATGGAGGGTTAGCTATCCAGATGGGTATCAGACTATAGGAAGCACCCTGTCTCAGGAAAGGAGGGGAATGGCAAAGATGGGGAAAGCTGGAACTAGGGAAGTCCTCACCACTGAGCCCCCGCGGATGACCATAAAGTGCTCTCCAGCAGGGTCAGCTGCCTTTCCCGAGGTCTGGGCTGAGGTCAGGGATGCCCACACATAGGAAACCTGGGCCATAGCAGTAAGCTCTGTGGGGTCTACACCTCATTGAGTACATGTGGCCACAGGACCAAAGGAAGGATAGTGTGGCTGCCTCCCTGTAGCCAGCCCACTACTGCAGACCAACTTATGACTCTGAGCATGAGGAGGGAACGGAGACTTAGAGTCCTGGGGACTCTAAGGACCTTGGTCCCTGGACAGAGTGATGTGCTTCCTACAGCAGCTGACACAAGAAACCACCCTGAGGTGGCCTGGATTCCTGGGCCTCAAAATCTTTAATTAGCCAAACTTAACACCTGCCAAGGTGTGCCTGACGAATTCTCACCCTGTGATGTCCGCGTGGGCAGGCGTTACCTGCTGTACCATTCCTGTGGCTCCTGGCCCTTATCTCCCAGAAAAGTAAACAGGTCTCAGGGCAATGGCCTGGGTCATTGATTTACTGCCCAGGCCCACACTGCACCCATGAAAGATGCCATTCTGGTCACCTACCCAAGGTCACAATGATCTCCCTGCCCTAGCATCCGTGGCCTGCCCTGGGGAGAAGGCCTTGGGGAGCCTCTTCACTCTGTTTCTAGCTTTGGTCAAGCTTCATGGAACCCCTAGAGGACAGGAGGACATGGAAGTCCTGAGTGGGGAGTACTCCACCCCTGGTCACACAGTAAGTAAGGTAGGGCCCCTGGCCATACAGCGAGGCAGGGCCAAACTGGGCCTTAGACTCAGAGTGCCTACTCTGAGCTTTCTTTTCTTTCTTTCTTTTTTTCTTAAGTTGGGGTCTCACTCTGTTGCCCAGGATGGAGTGCAATGGCATACTCACAGCCACCCCAGCCTTGACCTGCTGGGCTCCAGCAATCCTTCCACCTCAGCCTTCCAAGTAGCCAGAACTACAGGCATGTGCTACCACACCGGCTAATTTTTTATTTATTGGAGAGACGAGGTGTCATCAAGTTGCCCGGGCTGGTCTCGAACCCATGGGCTTGGGCAATCCATTCGCCTTGGCCTCCCAAAGTTCTGGGATTACAGGCTGAGCCACTGAGCCCAGTCATACGCTGAGCTTTCACCACAGTGGGTCAGGTTTTGATAGCAGCTTTTCTCATGCAGGGGTTCTTCCCCACGTTTACCCTAACTTCTCAATACAAAGGAACCTGAGGGACAGCAGGCCTGAGGGGTAGGAGCTGTCAAAAATGGGCTGGCAGCCTCAGGGAATGGTTGGGGGCCAGCATGTCAGGCCAGAGCTAATCCCCACTCTGGCCCCCCAGCCCTCATCCCTGCCCTAGACTGAAGTACAGAAGACTCCTTGACCTGGCCTTGAAGGCCCTGTCAGATTTGTCTATAGTCACAGAACATTTATTCCACCCTCATCGCTTGCGTATACTATGCCCTATGCTTGAGGCACTCTCTTGTTCCATACCTCAGGAGTTCCTACTGGCTTTATCACCTCCTCCAGGAAGCCTTCCTTGATGCTTCCTGTCCCCTTTATTGAATCCCAGCACTATGTGGTTCATACTCAGTTGCAGCAGGAGCTATAGGGTGTTGATGCAGAGAGTGTTTGGGGGGTTTGTCCATTCCAGACTGGAGGTCACTTGAGGAGGGGTATTCCATGTCCTTTCTGGGATGTCAGGTCTGCCCAAGACCCAGCAATGACTGGACAATAGCCACCAGGCCCAAAGGTCTAGGCCGAGGTCCTGCAAGGAAATGGGGAACCTGGAGCCAGGACCTCAGACACCTCCCATGGCCCATGCCACGGACTGTGGTCTCCCTGGAGGCGGTGCCTGGCTGCTAGGGAAGGATATTAGGGCACAGAAGGGTGCTTTGTCCAGGCTGCCAGCTCAGCACACTCCGAGGGCCTGTCCCAGCCTGCCCAGGGCAGGGGGCCGAGCAAGGGCAGCCCTAACTGAGTTCCAGGGAGTACTCTGGAGTGACTCTGGAGACCAGGCACCAGTACCTCCACACTGAGCTGGGACCCTAGGAGGAGTGCTGATGGCAAGGCTTAGGGCAAGGCCATGGGGACAGGGTGACCTGGAGAACTCCCATTTAGGGGAAGAGGGCTCAAGAGAAGATGTTAATGTTGTCATGGTCCTGAGTGGGTAGAGCTGGGTGGAGAGAAGGGCTCAGATGTTGGCATCAGAAGACAGAGAGGCAGGTTTGAGGGGTGCAAGAGTGCAAATGTGGGGTCTCCAGGGATGAAGTGCCACGATCTGAACTCTGACCTGGGGCTGTCTGAGATAATAGAGGGAGGGAGTTCTCTGGTCAATGGTGTATGGCTGCTACCTCTGGGGGACCAGGGCCTGGGGCCTGAGCCTAGTTTCTGTTCAGTCCTAGCCCTGAGTGCTACGTTTGAGTCCCCTAGATTCAAGGGCAGACCTGAGACCATAAGGGTCTGGAGCAGGGATGATAGATTCAGGGCAGAATTCAGGATTCCTAAGCAGAGCGGGCACCATGGATTCAGGGCCAGGCTCTGGCTGTCCTGCCTGGCAGTACTGCCCCCTCCCTGGTCTTCACTCTCGCCTCAGCTCTCCTGCTGGCCAGGCTGGCCTTCAGGATGTCCTTACAGAACCTGGGGATGCTATGCCCAGTCACCTCTGGGTGTGAAGTAGGCAACTCCTGGCCCCAGTGATGGGAGAGGGGCCAGCGAGTTGTCTGAGCAGTGGGCAGGGGCAGGGGAGGGAGAACAGGAGCTAGTTCTCTTCAGGCCCTGCAGGCCAAGCTCAGACAGCAGGGAAGTGGAGGTGCTGACCTGATGATCCAGGCTCCTCTACAGCTGGCTGAGGCCCTGAGCTCCTGGCCTGGGACTTCAGGAAATGGGGGGTTTTGTTTAGAGGGTCAACTCCTGCATAGTGGTCACCTGAGGGTTGAGGCTTCCCTGTCAGGGGAGGATAGGCTTGAATGAAAACATGGCCTTGAGGCCAGGACTGGGCGGAAACGAGCCTGTGTGGCCCAGAGAACTGGATACTGGTGCACCCATTTCCTGGAAGGCCCCCTGAGGGCCCTTTGCCACAGCCAGGCGGGAAGGGCCCAGGTGTCCAGCCACCCAGCACCGCCTCAGGCATCCTGGCTCCGGGGGTGGGGGGGCAGCTTCTGCGTCTGCCGTTCCCAGCGCCAGCTCTCAGCCCACAGAGGGTCCTTTGTTCTGGCTGCCAGCAGTGCCCGCCTGGCGGCTGGGAACAGGGCCCATAGCCCTCACCCTCTCCCAAGGCCTTCAGCCATCAGTTAGTGCCATTCTAGGTTGTCCAGGAGGTCCCTGGCACACAGGGCCAGTGCAGGAAACCATCTTCCAGTACTAATGTCAGGGTGGAGGAGTCTGACCAGAGTACATACCCAGGGCGGGGTCTGGGGACCCTAGCATCTGGGGATACTGGTGCCACTGGACTCTGAAATCAGGTCATCCAGATGACCCTCACTTCACAGATGGGAAAACCAAAGCCTCAAGAGCTGGCCTGGCTGGTGTGCATGTAGGGGGTGCATTAGGTACTGGCTTAGGTATCCTGTCAGAGCATCCTGAGGAACTCAGGTGTCTGAGCTCTATATCTCCAACAGCAGATCCCAGGGAGGCAGCAGGCAGAGCTCATATACGTGTGTCACGAGTGACCCTCTCTGGTGATGTGCTGTGCTTGTAGACCTCATGTAGGAGGCTAGGCCGTGGGCCCAAAGAGGGGGGATAACCAGAGGGACTGTCTGCCCTGCAGATTTCTTACTGGGTTGTACGAGAGCAGTACTGTCAGCTCTGCAGACTTCTGACTGTGTTGGAGACCGTGTTGGTGTGAGAGCAGTGCTGAGAAAGTGAGCCATGGAGGCGCCCTTGCAGACGGAGCTGGTGGAGCTGGTGCCTAATGGCAAGCACTCAGAGGGACTACTCCCAGTTATCACTCCCATGGCAGGCAACCAGAGGTAAGTAGAAGAGTGGCCCTGTGGCAGTTCAGGATAAGGCAGGGCATGGGGACACAGCAAAAGGCTGAAGCTGAACTGCCTGCCCTGGTCTGTGCCTGCAGGGTCGAGGACTCCACTCAGAGCTGTGTTGAGGGCAAGGGCTTCCTGCAGAAAAGCCCCAGCAAGGAGCCACACTTCACTGACGTGAGTTGGGCAGCCATGGGGGTTGGGGGGCACTGTGGGGAGCATGGATGGAGTAACAAGGTGCTCTGGGGCAGCACTGGGAGGCTGAGGGACAGTGAGGGGACCACCATAATGTCCCCATGCCCTGCTGACTTCCCCAACCCTGCCCGTTTCACTCTGGTGCCTGCAGTTCGAGGGAAAGACATCGTTCGGGATGTCAGTGTTCAACCTCAGCAACGCTATCATGGGCAGCGGCATCCTGGGGCTCGCCTATGCCATGGCCAATACGGGCATCATCCTTTTCCTGTGAGTTCCCTCAGAGAACCATCTAAATAGGGAGCCCTGAGCAAGCCACCAACCCTGTCTTCCCAGGACCTACCAGTTCCCTGTCCCAAAGCCCAGGCTGCAGTGGTGGGCACTTCTTATACTACACCCACACTGTGGCTGAAAAAACATCCACGGCAAACAAACGTATCTCATTGCCCAGTAAACCCACTGAGGTCACAACACAAGGCCAGCCTTACAGGCCTGAGCCTGTCCTCTGCCATGTTTCCATGTGATGGCAAAACCCCATGGCCAAGCCTTGTGTGGACGCATGTGTCCTTTGCCTGAGGACTCTGCCCTGTAGGCTGAATGGGAAATGTGTTTGTTCCAAGGACTCAAGAGGAGGAGGTGCTTGGAGGGCAGTCACAGGGGCACTCTTGACCCAGATGGCCCCACCCTGGGTCAAACAGGGTGGTGCTCATCACCCCTAGGGCCTGCCTGCTAAGCTTGCATCCACACCTGTTGGGGAGTGCAGATACCTAGATCACAGACCCTCCACATCTAGGCCTCCCAAAGCCCTCACATCCTGCCAGCCAGAGAGGCCCAGTGGCCTCTTTCTCATTGATCTTTCTATGTGTCCCAGGTTCCTGTTGACAGCTGTCGCCTTGCTCTCCAGCTACTCCATCCACCTGCTACTCAAGTCCTCAGGGATCGTGGGTAAGCTTCACACCAATTGGGAACTGGTGAGGCTGTGGGGTGGACTAGGGCAAACTCCCTGACTTCCTGACCCCTGCTCCCACAGGCATCCGCGCCTATGAGCAGCTGGGTTACCGTGCCTTTGGGACCCCAGGAAAGCTGGCAGCAGCCCTGGCCATCACACTGCAGAACATTGGAGGTGAGACCAGTGGGCAAGGAGCAGGCAGGCAATGGGGGGGCAGACAGGTCTGAAGGCTATCCAGGTTGGCTGATCCCAGTGCCTGCCCACCCCTCTCCCCCCAGCCATGTCCAGCTACCTGTACATCATCAAGTCCGAACTGCCACTTGTCATACAGACCTTCCTGAACCTGGAGGAGAAAACCTCGTGAGCCCTGGGGTGGGGTGGGGCTGGGTGAGGGCGGGAGGTTCTAGTCTACCCCTCCATGCCCACCACTGACCCTGGGTCCTGGGGCTGGTGGGAGAGAGAAACTGGAGAAGACAAGTGGCTGGTGAAGGAGGCAGAGAGATGTCAGCAGAGCCAACATTCAGTCCACACTTGTTTAGGAAATACCAAAGGGAGCCCCCTGAGCGGGGACGTGTGGGACTAGGCGCAGGGTGAAGCTGAGGAAGCCCAGCCCCTCCTGGCCCCAGACCCAGCCTGTGAGCATGAGCACCTCAGGCTTAGCTCTAAGCACCTGCTATTCCTGACCATGGGGTTAGCCCCCCCTCCAAGAGATTAAGCCCGGGGTGTCCCAGTTGCCTATCACTTTAGCCAGCACTGGCTGGGCTTCAACTATCTTTTGTGGTGAGGGGCAGAGAAGACACAGCCAGGCCGAGCTCTTGGTAGAGGGACTCTGAGGATGAGAGCAGCTCTGAGAGGAGGGAGAGTCGGGTTCTGCGTCTGGGATCCTAGGGGCCTTTCCCAAGGAATTGGCCTTTGGACTTGCCCTTGAGCATGGTCCTGGCCCTTATCCCCTTGTCTCTCTGTGCCCCATGTCCATTATTGGAATGTAGAGGAGAGAGTAGGATGATGCAAGTTCCAGATGCCAAAATAAACCACAAACACAGGTTACTGGCAAGTCCCCGAGACTCCCATGGAAAATGCGCCCCCCTCCAGAGCCAGGGTCCTTCATCCCACCCACCCATCTCCCTCCAGAGGCTGGGCCCATACATGTGTGTCCGAGAAAAACAACAACAGTGACTATAATCATGATTACCAAGTATGAGCTATGAGCCTGGCCAGCACCTCAGTCCTCTCATCACCCAGAAGGAGAGTACCAAGAGTGTGCCCATTTGCAAATGGGGAAAGGGAGACTCAGAGCTGTGGACAAATATTCTTCAGAGGTCACTCAGTGGCACCACTGGTGAATACGACTGGGGGAGGCAGGTGGCCCCACCCCAGGCTGAGTGTACTCTGACCCCGGCTCCCCACTTTCATCCCTGCAGGGACTGGTATATGAATGGGAACTACCTGGTAATACTGGTCTCTGTCACCATCATTCTGCCCTTGGCACTGATGCGGCAGCTTGGTGAGTGTGGCAGGGCCTTGCAGGGGATGCTTGAGGGACATATGGGAGGAGTCCCCAGTCTCACATCTCCCCCTCCACTTTGCAGGCTACCTAGGCTACTCCAGCGGCTTCTCTCTCAGCTGTATGGTGTTCTTCCTAATTGCAGTGAGTCACCATCCATGTTGGTCAAAGAAGGGGAAAGGTTTCCCCAGGGGGTTCTCTGTCAGAAAGGAGGGGGCAGGTCTCTTGGGGAAGCCTGGGCCAGAAGGCAGCCCCTCCAGTCTTGATCTGGATGTGGCTTCATAGTGACTTCCCAGGCAGCCTAGCCTGGCTCTGAAACCCTCATCCCTCCTCACCCCAGGTCATCTACAAAAAGTTCCACGTGCCCTGTCCACTGCCCTCCAACTTTGCCAATGTCACAGGCAACTTCAGCCACATGGAAGTCATTGAGGAGAAGGCACAGCTGCAGGTTGAGACTGAGGCTGCAGACCTCTGCGCTCCGAGCTACTTCACACTCAACTCACAGGTTCTGACAGACCAGAGAGGGACATGGTGGGGGAATGAGAGCGGGGGGCTGCCTTGACACAGTCTCATGTTTCCCCAGACAGCATACACCATCCCCATTATGGCCTTCGCCTTCGTCTGCCACCCTGAGGTGCTGCCCATCTATACAGAGCTCAAGGAGTAGGTGTCTGCGGCTGGGAGACGGGGCAGGGCTGCCTTGAGCCATTGGGAAGGATGGATGTGGTCCTGGGTGTGGAGAGGGGAGTGACAGGAGCCAAGTCACTTTATCTCACACTGCAGTGGCTGCCATGAAGAGGGCTTGGGAGCAAGAAGAAAACTCCCTCAGCTCTGACTGGGTCCCTCAGTGTGGCCCAGTTTGTCACCAATCCCTATCCCCTGCTGCCCCACAGTCCCTCCAAGAAGAAGATGCAGCACATCTCCAACCTCTCCATCGCCGTCATGTATGTCATGTACTTCCTGGCTGCCCTCTTCGGCTACCTCACCTTCTACGGTATGGCTGGACCAGTTGGCAGAGGCCAAGGCCAGGCTGGGGGACGAGGGGCTGGTCACAGGTCATGGTTCCCTGAATACTGCAGGCACTCGTTAGGTGTGTGATGCCTGACTGTGCCCTGCAGTGGTGGAGGTGAGTCTTAGTGCCACTCACCACAGTGTCAGGGTCCACCAGGCAGCTCAGATCCCACCTCCCTCCTGGGACACCTGCTGACCATCCACCCTGCCTGCCACAGATGGGGTGGAGTCGGAGCTGCTGCACACCTACAGCAAAGTGGACCCATTTGATGTGCTGATCCTGTGTGTGCGTGTGGCCGTGCTGACAGCAGTCACACTCACAGTGCCAATCGTTCTGTTCCCGGTAAGCCAGTGGGCAGATGGCTGGACCAATGGGGGAGAGGCCAATGGGACTGACAGCTTGATGGTTCTTCCCCCCTGCCCCCAGGTGCGCCGTGCCATCCAGCAGATGCTATTTCCAGACCAGGATTTCAGCTGGCTGCGGCACGTACTAATCGCCATTGGCCTGCTCACTTGTATCAACCTGCTGGTCATCTTTGCCCCAAACATCCTGGGCATCTTTGGGGTCATCGGTGAGGGTCTGGCCCTGTTATGAAAGCAGCGTATTGCCCCAAATAATTTTACTTCTACAAATCCTGACAGATCTCTGAGCTCACACCCTACATCTAAGTGTAATGGCCATGTGACAGTTTGGCCGCCCATCTGAACTTTTGTCTTAAAGCTATTTTAATCCCCTTTGAGAGCTCAGAACCACTGAGTCAATTCCCCTTGCTGGGAGATAGGAGTGGACCCCAGGAGTCAGGAGCTTCCACAAAGGATGTCTTTGGGTTTTGTCCCCATTTTGCATATGAAGAAACTAAATTTCAGTATGATTAAAGGAGCAGCAGGGCCACATGGCTGGTGAATGGGAGTCTTGATTCAGTCCCAGAATTATTGGACTCTAGATTTGGTGCTCCACCCACTGCCCCATCCCAGATAGGACTCTGAGTTGGATGAGCTGACAATTCTGAAATATCTTTGGGGATGATCCAATTCAGGGGACTGGCCCAGCCCAATTCTGCAGGCACTGACAAACAGACCTAAGAGCTGAATATCATGGTGAGCATGGACAGCACTCTTGGCTCTACATGTCCAAAATCTAACTCAAAATGAATTCAGCAGAAAGGAATGCATAGGCTCAAATAATGGAAAAGCCTATAGGAATAGCTGTGTCCAGGAGCCCAATACCCTTGAGGCTTTGTCTCTCTCCATTTCTTGACTTGCCTTTCCTCATTGCTAGCTTCATTCACTGACATTCGTCTGACACCAGCAGCACCAGCCTTCCATCCTGGTGGATAGTGAGCAGGGGAGGAGGCTGGTGAGCTTCCCACAGTCAGGCAGAGCTCTCAAGGGTGGTCTCAAGATGAAACTCACTCAACCAGGAATGTTTGATCTCATTGAAGGGTTCACCCCCAAACCTTAGGCAATAGGTGGACATGAACAAGCTGCAGCCATGCCTTGTTTTTTCCAGGTGCTACATCTGCCCCATGCCTCATCTTCATTTTTCCTGCCATCTTCTACTTCCGAATCGTGCCCACTGATAAGGAGCCTGCGAGATCCACCCCCAAAATCCTGGTGCGAGAGATCTAGAGACCAGTGGGCTGGTGTGGGGCTGCGGGTTCTGCCCTGACTTTGGACCTGACCCTGACTTCTGACCCCACAGGCTCTTTGTTTTGCTGTGCTTGGACTTTTACTGATGACCATGAGCTTGAGCTTCATCATCATTGACTGGGCCTCAGGAACCAGCCGGCATGGAGGAAACCATTAGGGTGACCCCGATCCTGTTCTATCTACTTGTCCTAGCACCCCTGCCTAGACTCTCCAGCCCCTGCTCCCATCTAGTGGCCAGTGGGAGGAGGAAAAAGACACAGTTAACATTATGGGATTTGGTCTGGCCCCATATCCTCTATATAGGAGGTTTTTGTTAAAGAGCCAGGACCAAGACCTTTGGGCCACCACCCTGCTGAACTCCAGAGCTGCAGGGACTTCCTGAACTGGAAGCAGGGAGGGGCTGTTGCCTCAGATCCCACTCAAGCCACTCATCCCCTCTTTGCAGAGATGCACACACTGAAGCCCAGCAGCTGCCTCCTGAGGTCACACAGCCTTAGGGACACATAGAACTGGATCTCAGGCCTGCAGCCATCCATCCCCCTGCTGTTAGGCCAGTGTCTGCACCTGGGGGCCTTGTCTCCCCCAACCCACTTGTTTTCCCTCCTTCTTTTCCTTAGGCCCATCAGACACTTGGGCTCAAGCCCTTGGATAACCTTCTCCCAGCCCCTTCACTGGAGATCCCACCCTACCCCACAGCTGGAGCCAGCAAGTTCTACTGAGGGCAGGGCTAGTGTGGGTACCCCCAACGGACCCCTGTTCAGTCCCTTCACCAGCCCTGGGGAGGCTGGGACTCCCCCCACCCCAAGAATGGGCCATAGCTCACATTCCACTGCTGGAAGAAGAGAGGCTGGGCCCAGATTGTCCTGCCCCTAGGAGCCACAGACCCCAGGGGCCAAATGGGGACAGGGTGGGGAGGCTGGCAGCCCTCTTTTATAAATATTATATATATAATACCAGCTGTGTTTTATATTCTTGGTCTCCATGGTCCCTGGGTTCCTGGAAAGTGGGGTAGGGGCCAGGACATGGATGATGATGAAGGAGGCCCCCCATCTCTTTTTCTGGGATGAAGGTGGGGACAGGACAAGTCCCCTCCCACCCCCCCCCCCGCCTCCCAAACCAATCAGTGGCACACTCAGACCCGGCACTGGACCTGGGCCAGGCTCAGCACAGACCTGCTTTCTCACGGGGTGAGGTGGGGAGGAATTAATGAGGCCCCAGGAAGTGGGACAGAGAGAGGCCTCCGGAAGGAGGCAACGTGAGGTGCATCCCCAGCAGCTTCAGGGAGGGTCTAAGCTGGGGGCAACTGAGCCCTCCAGGAGCCCCAGAAAGGGCCCCCTACCCTTCCCTGGCTCCCAGGCTGCTATGTCAATTCTCCATCAATGCCTTGAGTCTAGTGACAAAAGTCCAGGGATCCTGTGCCCTGTGGGCTGATCTTTTTATTAACAGTAGAATTTACTATGAATAAAGGTGGGTTAGTGAGTCCCTGTGTGTGGGGCCCAGAGTGCCAGGGGGAGGGAGAGTCAAAGGCAGGGCAGAAGCTACAAGGAGGCAGGGCAGCCCCAGGTGTCCTGGCCCGAGTGGGACTGGGAAGCTGCCCACTGCCTTGGGCAGGCCTGAACCAGCTGGGACCCAGCAGGATGGAGCTGCCCAGGCCTTGGCACCAAACCCTCATTAGGAGAGACCCTGCACCAGGCTAGACCGCCGGGGAAAGGGCAGCAGGAAAAATCCAGTTTGAACTTGCAAGGCAGCTGCCAGCTCGGGAAACCCCTGAAGAAAGAACTTCCTCAAGCCGGTGGCTGCTAGGCCCAAGGCAGTGCCAGATGGGCAGAGGGGGGCTTCCTGCATCCCATTCCCATCAGCTCCAGGCGCCCAACTTCAGCCTTGGGACTCACCCAGGAGCCCCATGGCTGGAGGAAAGAGCTGGACACTGGCCTAGAGATAGATATAGCCCTGAGTGTTCTGTTGTGAGGGGCTGCTTTCTGGGAGTCTCTGGCTTTTTCCCTATCAGAGGGAGCCATAGCCCTGCCTAGAACCCTTGGCTTCTAGGAAGTAGGGAGCAATAAAGGGAAGAGTCCATCCTGTGGGCAGACCCTGAGGGTCTTGTCTCACACTCTCTCCCTCCAAAGAAGGCTACAGGTCAGAGCAGAAGCAGAACACCTGGCCTGGCTTCAAGCCTCACAGACCATAGGGTGTGCTAAACAGCAGCAATGGCCACACACACACACAAACACACAGAGCTGGTGTGGAGGTACCCTGGCCCCAAGAGGCCATCTCTGCCTGACTGTGGGCAGCAGACTCCAGCAGGCAGGAGGTAGGTTATGTGGCCACCACACTAGATTAGAAAGTCACGTCTCCACATGGCTGTTTGAAAATGAGTATCAGGCCGGGCTCGGTGGCTTAGCCTGTAATTCCAACACTTTGGAAAGCCAAGGCGAGTGGATTGCCTGAGCCTGCAGGTTCAAGACCAGCCCAGGCAACTTGGTGAGACCTCGTCTCTACAAATAAAAAAATTGGCCAGGCTCAGTGACTCAGCCTGTAATCCCAGCACTTTGGGAGGCCGAGGCCAGAGGATTGCCTGAGCCCACAGGTTTGAGACCAGCCTGGGCAACTTGGTAAGACCTCGTTTCTAACATAAATCACAAAAACTAGCTGGACATGGTGGCGTGCATCTGCAGTTCCAGCTACTTGGAAGGTTGAGGTGGAAGGATCACCTAAGTCCAGCAGGTGAAGGCTGTGATGGCCATGAGCGTGCCACTGCACTCCAGCCTGAGTGACAAGAGTGAGACTCCAACTCAAAAAATTAAATTAAATTAAAATTTAAAAATTAGCTGGGTGTAGTATCATGTGCCCGTAGTTCTGGCTACTTGGGAGGCTGAGGTGGAAAGATAGCTGGAGCCCAGCAGGTTGACGCTGGGGTGGCCATGAGCGTGCCACTGCACTCCAGCCTGAGCAATGAAGTGTGACTCCAACTTAAAAAAAAGAAGCCGGGCTCGGTAGCTCAGCCTGTAATCCCAGCGCTTTGAGAGGTTGAGGTGAGTGGATTGCCTGAGCCCGTGGGTTTGAGACCTGCCTGGGCAACTTGGCGAGACCTCATCTCTACAATAAATCAATATATTAGCCAGGCGTGGTAGTGCATGCCTGTAGTTCCAGCTACTTGGAAGGCTGAGGAGGAAGGATTGCCGGAGCCCAGCGGGTCGAGGCTGCGGTGACCGGGAGCATGCCACTGCACTCCAGTTTGGGCGACAAAATGAGACTCCAACTCAAAAAAAAAAAAAAGAAAGAAAGAAACACTGGAAAGGTCAGATGTGGTGGTTCATGCCTGTAATCTCAACACTTTGGGAGGCAGAGATGAGAGGATTGCCCAAGCCCAGGGGTTTGAGACCAGCCTGGGCAACTTGGTGAGAACTCGTCTCTACAATAAATAAATAAATACATTCGTCAGCAGTGGTAGCATGTGCCTGTATTTCCAGCTACTTGGAAGGCTGAGATGGAAGGATCACCTGAGCCCAGCAGATCGAGGCTGTGGTAGCTGTGAGCATGCCACTGCAATTTAGCCCGGGTGACAGAGCGAGACCCCAACTTGAAAAAAAAAAAAAATTAGGCAGGCACAGGAGTACATCCCTGTGGTTCCAGCTACTTACAAAGCTGAGATGGAAAGATTGCCTGAGCCCAGCAGGTTGAGACTGCGGTTGCCATGATAGTGTCACTGTATTCCAGCCTGGGTGACAGAGTGAAAATTTGATTAAAAAAAGAAAGAAAGAAAGAAAAGAAAAAAATACTGGAAAGAAGAAGCTATAGCAGGAGAATGGGAGAGGCTGGTAGGATGTAGGCTGGAGCCAGGTGATGGACTTTGGGGTCAAGGTGCTGGAGAAACTGAGCTAAGAGATAGTAGATGAGGTTGGATAGTGGGACCTGAACATCATGGATTGTGGAGAGTGGCCACTAACCTGACCAAGTGCTAGTGGCTAGGGACACAGTGGTTCCAAGATGCAGCCAGGGACAGCAAGGAGCATGTGGAATGACCCCGGGGGATTCATCCAGATGTCTGCCTTGATCCCAGCTTAAAGTCACCCAGCAATTGGCTTTCTTTTAAACAATTTGGAGCAGCAATAATTGACTGAGGGTTACTTAGAAAGAAAGAGCAGGCCAGGCTGGGTGGTTCAACCTGTAATCCCAGCATTTTGGGAGACCAAGGGGAGTAGATTGCCTGAGCCCACGGGTTCGAGACCAGCTCAGGCAACTTGGCGAGACCTTGTCTCTACAATAAATCAAAAAAATAAATACATACATACATAAAAATAAATAAATAAATAAAGGTGCAGCCCTGAAAAATATCTGAAAGAACAGAACTGCTTTCAAAACCACACAAATCTGCAAACCACAGTGAGGCCTGAACGGGATTAGCCAGCTACCTAACCCGCTGAGTTATGCGGGAGGCAGCCTTTGCTGACCCCTGGCGGTCAACTGTTGGAGTCTGGCTGAGCAGTGACCCACCCGATACATCCCCCTGTCCGGTGGCTGGGATGATCACTCACGGCCGTGTGGCCGAGTCCAGACATTCCAGGGCAGTTCTGGAAAGCTTCCTGGATGGTGCAAAGCAGGCGGAAAATCGCAGAACGGGAGGGGAGAGGTCGTCCGGGAGGGGTGCTGGCATCGTGGGTAGGTGAGTACTGCAGAGAGCCAGGTTCCCCACAGCTGCCTGACATTTGGAGTGTCTCCCAGAGCAAAGGGCTGTACCCCCCGACCTACCCTTGACCAAGCGTTCTGAGGGCCCCTCAAAGTATTGCCCAGCTCCTCTCTTTATCCTCTGGACGACGTTGGGATCAGTCTCAGCAGGACACCTCCCTACACTGCCAGAAGCCCCACAGCGCACCGGCTCTGGGCTGGGCGCGGAGCTGCCTGGCCATCAGGAAGCAGGCAAGGTGCGGAGTAGGAGAATCATCTAAATCACCGTCTAATCTCCGCCATGAAGGGGAAGCCGGGAGGGAGGGAGCTTCCCTGAAGAGAGGCGTGAAGACGCGAAGACCGGGAAAGCAGAAAGGGAGGCGGCACTTGGGGACGCTGTGCGGATGGGCCGAGGGCGAGCCCCGAGCGGGGCACGGGCGATGGGGCGCCACGGAGGTCTCGGAGCAGAGGACGCCTAACGGCGGCTGCTCTGCGGAGGGCTGGCCTGGATGGCCTCGGAGTGACTGGTCACGGAGGCGGGGCCGGGGCTGGAGGCGCAACCAGACGGGAAAGCAGGCCAGGCGGGGGCACCCGCGAGCGGAGGCCGGGAGGAGAGGAGCCGGCTGCGGGAGGTGGGGCCCGGCCGGCCTCGGCTCCCGCACTGCACCCCGGGCCCGCGAGGAGGCGCCGCTGCCCCGCGAAGCCGTTCCCGGGCTCCTCGCGGCCACCGAAATCCCGCGCTCCGGCCTAGAGAGGCCCCGGAAGAGGTGGGGCCGGGCACTCCGCGGCCGCTTCCGGCTTCTGCTAGGCCGGGGAGGCCGGAGTCGGGAGAGGGGGTTGTGGGCGGGGTGTGGGTGAGAAAGCCGGGGGAGGTCAAGATCGAGGGGGTACGCGGGGACGGCAGTAGGCCAGAGCCTAGGGCGGGTGGCGCCCTGTGAGGTTGCCTCCTGCGCCGCCCTCGAGTCTTTGCCCAAGCCTCCCAGCCTCCTACGTTATGAAATGCCATCCTGGGCTCTGGGGGGCCCAGCGATGGCCAAGACCCGGGGCAGGGCAAGGAAGACTTCCTAGAAATGGAGAGGTGAAGAGGTGCACAAAGGCGAGGAAGCAGGTGTGGGACCTTGGGAACCCCTTTAGACCCATCTTCTTTATATGTTTGAGCAACACCCATTTGGAGGGGAAGCCAAGCCTGTCCAGACCTGCTGGAGGAAACAAAAACTCAACCCAATTTTAATTGCCCCCTTCTTCCAGGAGACGTAGGACAACCCTGTCCCCAGAGG